ACAATGCAATGCAACCTATCATGCAAGCTAGGATATGGAATGCAACTAGCTAAACAACATGCCAACGTGCAAAGATGAGACAATGCAAGCATGAAACCAAAGTAATGCAACATGTCAAAACATGCAATGGTGGACTTAAACCGCAAAGGGCAGACCTCAGCCTTTCCATAAACAGTGGCCAAAGATGATGCAAATGATGGACAAATGCTCATGCAAACATGCACACCAATGGGCCTAAAGCTAAGGCACAAAAGGTAACTTTCAAGAACACTAAAAAGATGATAAACATGGACATTAGACCAACATGTTAAACTCTGAAAATGCATAGAGGATGATGCCAAATCAACCATGTTATGCAAGTAAGGCATGCAATAATGACCAAAACTTGAAGCCAACAAAGGGGTCCAAACCATAGCTATGTCAACCAAACCCCAAAGGACCAAAATGGCTTAAAATAGTCCTAAGGCACTCCAAAACAAGACTAAAGCATGCATAGAACATGATCAAAACATGCCAAGAAATGGGCCCAAAACAAAGGGCATTCAAAGCCACGAAAGGGAGCATTGTTGTACACCCACCCCAACCAAACATGGCATGGATTATGTGATGAAAAACATAGTTATAATGTGCCAAAATAACCCCCAAAACCCACTTAGATGACCTCTAAATGATTTGAACAAAGAAGCATACACCAAGGCCCAAACATGGAGCATAAGTCCACAACTCTTCAACGCATTGAAAGGGTAACAAATGCAAGCATGTAAGCATAAAATCTGGACTGAAATGGCATGATAAATGATTCCAAATCATTGAAACAACCAAACTAAAGAATGCTAATGACTCACACACTCAAGGCTCACAAGCCAAAATGCATGATGGCTATACCAAACGTGGCAAATATGACCAAATCAATACCCAAAAGACCTCAAGCATGATGAAATATGACCAAAAGCTTCATGAATTTAAGCCAAAGCATGCATGCATGGTAGTCCAAAGGTAAGATGCACTTCTAGGCAAAATGAAGGAATGCAAGGCAAGTGTATTATGCATGCAAGGGGTCAACAAACCACCATAGAACAGAGGGTAAAACATGTTAAAAAAACACCAAATAACCTCTGAAATAAGACCAAACAAAGCTAGACATGCATGGTATCCTTATGAGCCAAAAAACACAAACAAATGAGACACAAAGGGACCTATGCAAGACCTCAAAACCTCTTCTTCACCACTAAAAATCATCTGGATTTCAGTGGTGAGAAGGCCAATACACGAAAGTTTCAAAGGCTCAACAAAGAAGGCACAAAAAAAGGCCAAACAAGGCCAAAGAGGGGGAGGTCGACCCCCAACACCAAAGTGACCTTAATGAAACATCTTAAGCATGAAAAATCAGAGTTTTTATCAGTTATACACAAAGCTCAAAACAGCATGCAAAGTGGGTTAAATCACTGAAACAACCCAACTAAAGCATGCTAATGACTCACACACTCAAGACTCACAAGTCAAAATGCATGGTGGCTATACCAAACGTGGCAAATATAACCAAATCAGTACCCAACAGATCTCAAGCATGATGAAATATGACCAAAAGCTTCATGAAGTTAAGCCAAAGCATGCATGCATGGTAGTCCAAAGGTAAGATGCACTTCTAGGCAAAATAGAGGAATGCAAGGCAAGTGTATTATGCATGCAAGGGGTCAACAAACCACCATAGAACAGAGGTAAAAACATGTTAAAAAAACACCAAATAACCTCTGAAATAAGACCAAACAAAGCTAGACATGCATGGTATCCTTATGAGCCAAAAAACACAAACAAATGAGACACAAAGGGACCTATGCAAGACCTCAAAACCTCTTCTTCACCACTAAAAATCATCTGGATTTCAGTGGTGAGAAGGCCAATACACGAAAGTTTCAAAGGCTCAACAAAGAAGGCACAAAAAAAGGCCAAACAAGGCCAAAGAGGGGGAGGTCGACCCCCAACACCAAAGTGACCTTAATGAAACATCTTAAGCATGAAAAATCAGAGTTTTTATCAGTTATACACAAAGCTCAAAACAGCATGCAAAGTGGGTTAAAAGCTAGTGCAAGAATGGGGAATATAAAGTAGCTATGCTCACCCTTGAAGAACACTTGAAGAACAGCAACCTCAGGCCCCTTCTTCTAATCAAAATTAACTCAAAACTCCAAGAACAAACTCTCAAGACCCCAATAACCCAAGTATGGTGTAATACTAGGTGCCTTAGTGCAAAACTAAGAACAAAACACCCTTTTAGGCCCTCTAACACACACAAATGAAGAGAGAGAGAGAGAGAGATATAGAGAGAGAAAGTGGTGTATATATCACCTATATATCTGATTTTTGCTGAACCTCTTCAAAGGAGAAGGAAGGCTTCCTTTTATAGAGGAAGACAAAGTGCTAAGCTTCTAAGGGAAGCTAATACAAAAGGGTCAAGGGGGTCAAGCTTCTCAAGGAAGCTAACTCAAAGGTCCAAGCTTCCTCAAGATGCTTGAGCAAAAGGTGCAAACTTCTCCAAGAAGCTTAGAACAAAAGGGTGCAAAAGGGACAAATCCTCCATAGACAAGTCTGTGCATTCCAGCTGGCACAGCTGGCATGCACAATGCCTGAAAAAGGCAAAAGGGAGGTATCGGCCAAAAAAAGAGACAACCGACCAAATAAATGGTCGGCCGACCACACAAAAAAGCTGATACACCTAAGAGAATACCGACCGACCAAACATCTGGTCGGTAGAAAAAAAAAAACAAGGCCGGTGGCATCATGCCACGGCCGGTGGGTTTCAGGGATGGCAAACAAGCCTCTTCCCACCCTCAGAAGCACAAAACATAAGTCCTTGGTGCAAAACCAAGCACAGAACAGGCAATTTAAGAGATCTTGAGGCAAGGCGCGCGGCCGAGGCCTCCAGGAACTCAAAACGAACACGAACATGGATGATCACCGAGCGTTCAAACGGTGACGTCCAAGTCTTGAGGATGGTAAAAAATGGGGTGTCTACATGGACCAACAAGCGAATTTATAGAAGTAGAGATCATGCAGTCCGCTCGAGCGTGGGAATATACGCTCGAGCGGGGACTCTATATCGCATGTTCGAAACCAGGGTTCACGCTCGAGCAGAAGATTCCACGCTCGAGCATAAAAACACATCACTCAGTATTTTTGCAGACATGCAAAATACTGTGAGAATGTAAACTCCGCTCGAGCGGCCCTTTCCTCGCTCGAGCGGGAAGAAAAAAAACTAGAAAATTACAACTCGACTAACAACATAGTTTTTCCATGGATTTTGACAAACAAAGGTCCTAACAAATTTGAATTTCAAGTTAAAATTTCATAAATTCCGGACATAAATTTCTCAGTTTGTAGCATGACTTTTGTAACAACTCTACCTAGACCTGACATAGCAATAAATTTGGTCTGGTGGAGTCATAGAAGTTATATTAATGACATTTTTCGTAGTTATATTAATGACATTTTTGGTTTTTATCATTTGAAAATTCAGTTGAATAAAACATCCGAAGCACAATCACCCTGCCATGCTCTTGAAATTAAAAAAAAAAAAGAGAAGAAGGGAAAAAAAAAAAAAAAAGGAGAGAAAAAGGAGAAATTATTATTTTAAAAAAAAACTCAAGATTTGAACCTTATAACAAAATAAATTATAAGTTTTTAATTTTGTTAATTTATACCTTTATCTTTTTATTTGTTTTCAATTTATACCATTTATTTATTTTCGTTAAGTAAAAATAATGAAAAAGAATATTTCAGTCAATATAATCAATGTTGGTGTACAAAAAATGTTTATAATATTATTTTTAGGTACATAACATTTCTATTAAAATAGGAATTTTTGTGTGCAAATAAGATACTACGTGGCACTACCTTCCACTCAACACAAATGTAATGAACCTTACTGTCAAATCTAATCACAATAGTAAAAGGTATCACGTGACATCTACCTTATTAGCCCCAAAAAAATTCCTCTTAAAAGAGAGTGATGGGGTAGATTGGCATCCCTTGCAACACAGGTTTTTAGGTATTGTTTTATATTGTATTGGAATTTAAGTATATCTTATCCTAGTAGTACTTCTGAAGTTCCACAAAATGTGCCACATTTAAATAATGCATGGGTATATAACTTCTACACGAAATGTTATAATCAAATCATAAGAAAAATTAAGATTTTTATGATAAATGTTATAAATTTTTATGGTGAAAGTTATAATTTTTTTAATAAAAATTATTAATGGTAAAGTTATGAATAATCGAAGTTGTGCCTGTTGTAAATAATTTTGGAAGTTATATTTGTTATGATAAGAAAAAAAATATATACTTTTTATTATAAAAATTATTCATTTTGCAGCAAAAATTATATATATATATATAAGTTATATACTATATGGACCCTTTTGTAAAAGTTATATCTTTCTTGTAGCTTGTGAAATTGATTGCAACACTTATTATTGCCATGTTTTCTTTCTCTCAGTCTTCTTAGATTTTAGGATAAATTACACTTTCACTACAACATATAAGACTTTTGGCGACTAATTATTTTGGTCGCTAAAACCATTATTTTGGTCTCTAAATAGTTTTTGTGACAAAATTAAATTCATCACTAAAAAAGTCACTAAAAGTGCGGCTAGAAAAGTCTTTAGTGACGAATTTTTGAAAATGTCACTGAAAATGACAATTAGCGACCAATTTTATATTGTTGCAAAATATTTGATTTTACAAGACTAAACATTTAGTCGCTAATACCTCGTCACAAAATATCCCAATTTGGTCGCGAAAAACAAAATAATGACGTTTTTAACGACAACTATATTTGGTCGCTAAAAGACAAATAACTTTCTTTACTACACTTTTTTGTCGCTAAAAATCAAACTTGGGATAGCTAAAAATGCACAAAAATTAAATGTCATCCAATCATACAAAAAAGAAAAAAATTGACATCCACACATCAAAGACACTCCATTGCCAAATCATAATGAGTACATAGAAAGTAAAATTTTACAAAAATTAAAATTCAAAGTTTCCAAACTGTTTGATTCTGCTTTCAAAAAACTTTCAAAAATTGACATATCAAGTTGCAATCTCAAACTAGTATCCTTGTCAACTGGTATGTCATCACTTATCCTGAAATGGTACAACAATTGATATCTAGTTCTTTACATATTTTTGAAGGACCTGCAGAATAAGATAATGATTAGAAGATTATACACTTCTACATCTTAAAGAAACACCAGTTCACATTGTCACATTCTCAACATTTTAAATATACAAGGATCATTCACCTAATTAAGAAACTCATTTTTTATTTACATTTTTTAAGAACATGGAATTTGCTAAAGTTATTGATAAGCTTACATGAATATTTCAAACTAACTGAAGTATGCATGTCAGATGCGCCAAACAACTTGAATACTTCCAAATGTGTAGAAATATAAACATGTTGAGGTTAGGTTGTAAATTATTTAAATTATTTTTCAAAGAAATATTACTAACCAAAGATGATCCATCTCACTGGGGGGAAAAAATTGAAGATTGTTTACCTGTGTTGTTGATAGTGATTTCCTCGCTAGTTCTTTCAGAATAAGGTGTACCTGATGAAGAAAAGAAATAGAAACTAATCAATGATAAGAACTAAAATAAACTAGGATTTATATTTGAAGAGGATGCTCTAGAAAGAACTAAAATGTAAATAGCAATTACATTTCTTAGATCAAAGCTATGTATTGAGAGACATTGCAAGTAAATTGACCCTTTTTGGTTTTTCCTTTTCCTTTGAGAAGAAGTGGCCCAAACTAGACACACGAAAAATACCTTAACTCTCTCCTCTTCATTAGTGTCCATAATATATGCCATATACCTAGGACGTAGAATAAACATGATCAAAAGGCGCAATTAAATAAAATAAGGAACCATCCATGTCATAATCATTAGATATTCAAATGCTAGAAATGATACTTCTCCCTTAGCTTCCTTGTAACAATATATTGGTACCCATTAAAACAATTAATCAATAAACTAAATTTAAGCCAACATAAATGCAAACCTCTCTCGTAGATACTTCTCCCTTGTTTTCCTGTTGATCCAGACTCGGCATACCTAATCCTTATTTCTTCCTCATGGGATTCTATGGGCAGTTTAGTTGTATGCAACTCTGAATATCTTGCAGTTCCTGAAAGAATGCCATACTTTACCAAAATTGCAAAACTAATGGTAAAACTAAAGTAAAAAGAAACAAAAAGCAGCATACAGTATGAGAACAGTACCAGAGGGTGACAATGGTGCAACCTCTGCGACAAATCTATCATTCACTTGCTTGGATGAACAGTTGGACTGATCTTGGCCATGAAAGTATTTCATGATTGAACATGTTCCCTGTCAAAAGTATTCAAGAGCTAGTATCGAATATAATAATAAAAGAAGAAGAAATTATGTTTCAATATTTAAATGAGTGGGAAACCGGATAATTTGAAGGCACTACATGTACTGCAATATGCTCATCTCATGAAAGTTTTCGTTAGAAGAATGGTCTTAGATCGTGGTATCAGCCAGCACAACAATTTTGAGAGTATCGACCAAATATGATTAGAGGAATATATTAAAGGACAATTTTGGAATCAATTGGATAAACTAATGTAACAATTATCTATTGGAGAGAAGAAAATTATAGATGGAGATTTCAACAGTCCAAAGCTCCATTTCAGCTACTAGACAGAAATCGGTAATAAACCTGCAATCGCAAAATTAAAATATCAACTCATATGAAGGAAATTAAAACTAGAGAAAGAATAAGTAAATCTTGTATCTCCACACGTACCGGCGATATACAAAACCGGGTTGACTTTCAAGAAATGCCAGACAAAAAGTGTACAGAGAACAGGGCACGTAATTCTCCTGCAATCCTTATTACAGCAGCGTGAGATCTAGGGGCAGAGAGGATTTGAATGGATGAGTTTTACATGTGTACTACCATCTCTGACCTTAATAAGGGCTCCTCACCGACACTCAATTATGAAAATTGGAAAAAAAACTACTATAGCACTAAGGAAAAAATATTGAGATAGTATGCACATATTTGCAAGCCACTCCCCACATAGAACTTTGCATAACAGAATAATATCGCGAATGTTGCTAGAAAATGTGCTTAGTCCTTGTCAAGCTTACCATTGTAGGACGCAATGCCAATAATGTAAAAAGCCTACCTCAGCATTTCCCTTAACTAATAATTTGTAAAGAGCATTAGGACCAGAAAAAGATTTCCAATGCATAAATGGGCAAAGGATAGAAAATTCAGCTATTGTTCATGCAACTTACGCGGTGTTATAGAACGTCCTCACCCACACACACCAATAATAATAATGGTAATATTGTCTCCTTCCCGTAGTTATTCTCTTAGATTATCTAAAGTAGCATTGCATCAGCTTTCTTTTCTTTCTTCCTTGCTCTTTTCCAATACACATTGCTTATGTTGTAATAATTTCAATATAGTTTTCCATTCCTTCTATGAAATTTTAATTTTCCATGCTCTTTATCAACTTTTAACATTCAGTTCTTTTTCAAAAAAGAATTGAAACAAGAATTATTTAGATGATCCCAAATAATGGGGACAAGGCTTTGTTGAGTTGAATAGAGTCTTTTTTTTACTTTTGATAGGCATTTGGTTATTTTCTGAAAACTTCTAGAGCAGAAAATCTGTGAATCTATCCTATAAGTTTTATGATAAAGTAGTCTGGTACTAATGAATCTGTAAGTAAAGAGAGTTTGGTTTTATTCATGTACAAGCCAACATTTTTGCCTTGAATTATAACTCTACCCTTAATTTTTCATTGTTCCATATGTAAGTAATGAATGGTGCTTTTATTAAAATAAAAAGAACACTAACAAAAGATGCTTTGTATCTTTTATGTTTAGTATATACAAGGTTGCTTCTCTTATTGCATTCTAATATCAGCTTATAAATTCATGTCCAAGAGAAAAAGTATGATATTGGTGGCGGAATTCAAGCAATTTCTAGCATAAAAATAAAAACATAGAATACAGAGGAATACATAATTTCAAATTCAAGCAATTTGAATGAACACAAAGGAGTATATATATAGATATGTGCATGTATATATGCTGTGTCTGTGGAGAGAGAGAGAGAGATTGAAAACACACCAAATCGCTATTGAATCCAAATTACTACGATCTCTGTTAGAAACCAAATCAATTTACTCAAACTTATATATATCTGCAAAAAAATTGAAGAAAATGAAGAATAAATGATATAAGATCTCAGAATATGTGTATATATGTGTGTGTGTGTAGCTAAAAAAATGATAGAAAATCTCAGAAAATTGTGCATCAAGATGAAGATCTCAGCAGCCATGAAAATCATTGAGTTACCTTCCGATTGAAGCCAAAGAACTCAGATCTTCAACGATCGATTCGGATTGAAGCTGAGATCTTAATCGATTCGGATTGAAGTTACAATAGGTAAGATCGATTGAAGCTGAGATCAGTACAAAGATGGATTCGAATTGAAGTAAAGATCGATTCGGATATGAGGCGGCACAAAGATCGATTCAGACTAAAGCTAATGATCGATCAAAGTTGAAGATCGATTGAGTCAGAGTCCTAGACAGAGGAAACAACTGAGATCGATTAAGTCCTAGTGAAGATCAATTCTTATATCGCGTATTTGACGATCTTTAGCAACCAAACTAATTCATCTCCAGCTTTTACCCACCTCAAACACACGGGTCAAGTATCTAAGTGAACATACGTGGTAATTTTTTTGGTCCTTAAAAGTCTCTAGATAATTTTTTTTGGCCTATCATAAAGAAATACGGTGTATTCTTATAATTTTCTTTTAAAATTTATTTTTGTCCCTAAATGATGATTTTTAGAGACTAAATTCAATTAGTCTCTAAATATTAGTCTCTAAATCACTATTTTCTTGTAGTGTTTGCATTTTTATGCTTTGTACCAAATCTTACTTTAGCCCCTACATATGAAATCATGACAGTCAACCCTCTGCACTTTTGGTCAAATCCCACTTTGGTTCCTGCCCATGAAATTGTGACAATCAACCCTTTGTACTTTTAGTAAAATCTCACTTTGATCCCTGCACAAGTGTCAATGTCCTATTTCTGTTACTCAATTGTTTAAATCTTTAACAGTATCTAGTCATGTAACTACGACATGAGGGTAAGAAAGAAAATTCATTTACATTAGGATTTTGCATAAATTGGACCACGAAATTCTGTTTTTCATAGTAACATAGTCTTCTATCTATTCATCTTTCTTTCTCTTTGATCTTTGTCGCATTTATTTTGTTTCAAAAGCTCTACTTTCTTACATTTTCATCACAATTTTTACCATACAAATATATATATACATATATTGTATTATATAATAATACAAAGTGTATTGGTGGGAAACATGGATAATTTTTCTCTCTTACCTTTATTTCATAGTCACATTTTTGTCACATAACTGGATTTTGTTAAAAATTTAAAAATGAAGTACCAAAATAGGGACATTGACACTTGTGTAGGAACCAAAGTGAGATTTGAGTAAAAGTGCAGAGGAGTTGACTATCACAATTGTCATGATTTCATGCGTAGGAACCAAAGTGAGATTTGATGTAAAGTGCAGGGGTACAAAGTATAATTTACCATAGATTTCAGAAACAATAATGTTATGATGATTTTATTATTTTATCACATTTTACATATCATCTCATATCTTATTATTGAATTGATATTCGTTATCAATATAATGATGACACATAACAAATTATACAATATATAATAATATTATCACCATGAACTCACTGTACCCAAAAAATGCTCCATTAGGAATGGAAAAGTGCATGAGTGTATATATCTGTCTTGTAACTAGTGAAATTCAAATTTCCCATGTTCTCAAAAAAAAATTTCTTCATCGGCTTTCTTTCTCTTTTTCTTATTGGATTTTTTTTTATAATTGACTTTAAACTATAATATCTTGCTTTATCTTTTGTTGATCCTTAACCGAGGCCACCTCTTTTGTCCCTCTCACCCTAACCACTATCTCACTCTCACAGATATTTTATCTCCAAATTCTCTGTTCTGCTATCCAAACGAAATTGTGTAAAAATTTTAAGATATGATTATTCTACGACCGAAAGAAAATTTATAGATAAATTCCTATGTCATATCTCAAATCTTTTTGTGTGTAGAATGCATTTTCTGTTTATGTTGGATTGGACAATAAACATTTTGGATAAATTACTTGCAGATCCTTATAGTTGGATTATCAAAATTCCTATCAATTGATCACTAAAAGTTGGTCCTAGTAAATCGTCGCTAAAAAAGATTTTTTGTGACGATATTTTACAAAATTTTCTTAATAGAAATTGAAAAAACTGAAAGGTGGTAAAAAAAAATTTATGAGATTTATTGACTATTTTATTAAGCCATATAGTATTAATGTGCTAATATTTTGTTTTTGTTTGCAATTGACTAATTTGAATTATTTTGTCAATATGACTGACAATATATGAAATTTGTAAGGTATCATGTGCACTTTAATGTTGATAGATTGTGTAAAATTGAAAATATGACATAACAATAATGATGACTTAATGGCCCTAATTGAAATTCCTGATTAGTGGAATTCTTTTCTTCAACTCTACGATTATTCAGGTTTTTTTTTTTTTCCTATCTTCTTAGATTTTGTAATAATTCACTTTTAAGCTGTTATATCTTTCTCAATATTTTATCTTTTGTTGATGCTTAACGTATGTCATCTCTATTGTTCTCCTCATTCTAACTACTGTCTCACGGTTATAGATTATTTTATGTTTGAATTCTCTTTCTTCTATATCAGTAGTATTGTGTGAGAATTTCAAAAATTGATCCAACAATTGAAAGTGTATTAGGATAGAAGGTTTTCATAACCAAGGGATGCCCTATCACACATTTTTTTTTTTTTTGGGCGTGTTCAATGGTTTTTTCTTTCATTTAAGTGATCAATCACATCAAAGTCCTTTTTTCTTTTCCAGAGTTATATGATATTTTACTTTTACAATTTGCTTTTATATCTAAGTTCTCTTTCTTTTGTATCAATAGAATTGCTCAAGAATTTCAAATTATGATCCAATGATTGAAAGTGTATTAAGATAGAAGGACTCCATAACCAAGGATTCCATGCCCTATCTCACTTGTTTTTGGTTGTTTTTGGCGTGTATACAATGGTTTTTCCTTTGATTTGAGTGATTCATTACTTCAACCACATCAAAGTCCTTTTTTCTTTTCCAGAGTTATGTGATTTTATTTTTGTAGATCATGCGCACGGTGTCATTTGATAATGTTCTTAGTTCTGACACTACAAGAAAACTGGGTATATGAGACGGAACTATTTGCGACGGCACACTTGCCGTCTCAAAAAGTCACTTTTTGTGACGGCAGAAAATGCCGTCTCAAAAAAGCAGAGTATTTGCGACGGCACCATTTACCATCTCAAAAAAGCAGAGCATTTGCAACGGCACTATTTGCCATCTCAAAAAATGAGAGTATTTGCGACAGCAGAAAATACCATCACAAATATTCTCATTTTTTGAGACGGCAAATAGTGCCGTCGTAAATGCTCTACTTTTTTGAGACGACAAATGGTGTCGTCGCAAATACTCTGCTTTTTTGATACGGCATTTTCTACCGTCACAAAAAGTGACTTTTTGAGACGGCAAGTGTGCCGTCGCAAATAGTTCCGTCTCATATACCCAGTTTTCTTGTAGTGGTACCATTACCTTCCAGCTAGCGCCTAGAGAATTAGTCGCGCTTGGAATAAGAGGTATCAGTACCTTCCAGCTAGCGCCTGGAGAACTTGGCAGAGATGCCATTACCTTCCAACTAGTGCCTGGTAAATTGGTAAATGTACCATAACCTTCCAGCTTGTGTCTGGTAAATTGGCATTTCGTTATGGAAAGGTCTATCCTTGACTTACAGTGCTTAAGGCAGGTAGAGCAGAACTTATTTATCATTATTGTCTTAGTGTATCTGTATATATTATGGGTTGTTTTTATTTTATTTTATTTTTTGATCAGCAAAAAAGAGATTTATTGATGATAAAAGCAAAGAACATGCAAATTACATCAACAAAAGAAGTTTGTACACTATAGAAAATTAAGATTTTAGGAACAAAAGTTTAGAGACAAAATCACTTTTACGAAAGAAATATTTTTATTGTCAAAAGTATCATTATTATATTTTTAACGACGAAATTTGGACATTAGTGTTGAATTATTATTCTTTTGAGATCAAAATTCATGTTAAAAAAAAAAAATTGACTAAATTATTTGTCACTACATTTATTAGTAATTTTTTAAATTTTGTTGCTAAAAGTTTTATTTTTCACTATTCAAGACGAACTTTTAAGGACTATTCTCGAGATGACAATAATTGCATCCCAAATATTTTTCTCAACAAAATTTCCATTTTATGAATAAAAAAATATAATCTATAAAACTCTTATTTATTGTAGTTATACAAACACTTTCTTGATATTGTATAAAAACAAATATCATAAAAGTACTTTTCCGCGTTGCTTTAAACAAATGAGTAAACCATTTTACATAGATTTACATAAATAAAAATTGAATTCTCTTCAATTTAGAGATCTAACTAGAGAGTTCATGTTGATGAGTCTATTGTGGTGTATTTCGGTGATTTGAATCGTTCATTTTGTAATGTCTAATAAAAAAAAAATTCATATAAAAAAAATCAAGATTGTCTAACATTAATATTCATATGATCGGTTCATATTTATTTTTAAAAAAATAAGTGATTTATTTTTAAAATTAAACTTCTTATCTATTTTTTTTCAAGACATGTGATTGTACTAATTGTCCTAGAATATGCTACTGTGTTTACAATAGGCAACATAGTCAATGGATTTGACTGAACTCCATGGAAAAAAAATTGGGTTCGTTCAATGAAAATTAAAACCGATTGGACACTAGTGTTTCAATCTTTGTTTGGGAAACAACGTTAGGATGACCATGTACTTGGAATCAGGATGGTAAGAATGTTTATATTAAAATAGTTAAATTTTTAATTAAAAATTTATTATTCATTTTACACTACAAAATATATTTTCTAACAGATGCTTTAAAGAAGTTGATTTAAATTATCTCAAAATGTATAATTTGTTATTTTCAAATTTCAAGAAAGTCAATGTAATTTATCTTTGACAAAAATTATATTGAATTCATATACAAAATGATATGACACTTTATGTTCCGTTCATCTCAATTTAAAATATCTTATTATTCTAACTTATATTTTCAAAAATATTATATTATTCTGATTCAGTTTTTTTATACAAATTTCATTTATAAATAATTTTTCTTAATTTATCATATTATTTTTTTATCTCATGTATTACAATTGCATTAGTTTAATGATTTCACCACTCAGGTTTATTATTAATATAATAATAATTGATTAAATGATAAATAGAATATATTAAGTATTTTATTACCTTAAATTATTTGTTGAGTCATCTTTTCCTAACCACGTCTAACTAGCGATTTGATACTCAACTAAAGTAGCTAATCAAAAATTGAGTTTGATGAAATATATTTCTATGAATTTGTGCCATAAAATAGCTAAGAAAAGATTCTAATGAGTTTGATACTGATGCTCTAAAAACTCATGATATATCATTTAGGTGAGTGAAATTGATGAAAATTAAATTTTTGCTCAACATGATTTTTGGCACGCCGTGTGGATCT